AATTTTTAATATTTATTTTTTTTAGTTCTCGGCGGACACAACATCTTTGTTGGTATGTGGTGCTGAGGATCGAACCCGGGCCGCACGCATGCCAGACGGGCGCGCTACCACTTGAGCCACATCTCCAGCCCTGGATGTCTAGTCTTAAGGCATCAAAAACTGAGCCCCTGGGGTTGGGGTTGTAGCTCAGTGGTGGAGCGCTTGCCTAGCACGTGTGAGGTGGCAGTACATAAAAATAGATGTAATAAAGGCATTCTACCGATCTACAACATTCCTCTTACCAGGCTCTCTGCTACCTCAGGCTTAACCATCTCAGTGGATGGTAAATCTTTGGGGTCACTCTTGACTCCCTTCTCTCACATTCCACGATTGATTTTGCAGCAAATCTAGGCCATCTCAAAGTATCTCCAGAATCCAGTCACTTGCCTCCTCTCGGCCCAGCCACCATACCCTTCCACTTGACTGTTACAGTGGCCTCTTCCTTGGGTTCCTGGCTTCTATCTCTGCAGCTCTTAGTCTGTTTCCTCCAGCACAGCCCAGAGGACTCTGTTTAAGACTGTGGCCTTCTATAAGTGACAGCAAGTGTTAGACAGTACGTGGGGAAATCTGAACCTCACACTCTGGCAGGAAAGTAAAATGGTGCAGTCACTCTAGAAGAGCTTGGCGGTTCCTCAAAAGGTTAAACCTAGAGTTGCCAGCGACTCCACAGCTAGGTATGGATCCAAGAGAAAGGGAAATATGTCCACACAAAATACGCATGCAAATGTTCATTGCAGCATTATTCATAGCCCCAAAGTGGAAAAAACTCAAGTTGTCCATTAGCTAAAGAATGGACAAACTAACTGTGGTACGTCCACTCAATGGAAGATCATTTGGCGATTAAAAAAAAAAAAAAGAAGTGCTAATAGATACATGCTGATACCTGGCTGAAGGTTGAACCCAACGTGCAGAATGAAAGAAGCCTGTCACAAAAGGCCACACACTATGATTCCGGTTGTCCGGAACTGGCAAATGAACACAAGGCCAGCGTGGTTGCCGGAGGCTGGGGAGACTGAGGGATGACAACTGAGGGAAGCAGGATTTTCTTTTTGGGGTGGGGGATGGAAATGCTCTAAAGTTGATAGTGGTGATATTTGTATAAATCTGTGAATATACTATAAACCACTGAGCTGTATGATTGATATGGGTGAATTTTACGATATGTGAATTGCAGCTCAATAGAACTTTTAACACCACCACCCCCCAAAAATAAATAAAAAATAAAAAATAAGTCTGTCTTCTCAGATTCTCCTGTGGCTTCCACCTCACTTGGAGTCCAAACCAAAACTATCTGCATGGCCCCAGGAGATCCCTACCGCCTCTCTGGTCTCACCCCTTCCCTCCCACTGCTCCAGCCACATTGGCCTCTGGCACAGTTTTGTCTCAGGGCCTTTGCACTGGCTGTTCCTTCTCTCTGGAATGTTCTTTCCCAAGATATCCATAAACCTTGCTGGGGGCAGATGCACATGCCTGAAATTCCAGCTACTGGGGAGGCTGAGGCAGGAGGATCTCATGTTCAAGGCTAGCCTGAGCAATTTGGGTGAGACCCTGTCTCAAAAACTAAAGAGTTGGGGGGATGTAGCTTGTGGTAGAACACCCCTGGATTCACACCCCAGTAACACACACACACACACACACACACACCAAGCCTCACTCCCTACCTCCTTCAGTTCTCTGTTCAAATGTTCAATAGAGCCATTTCTGAACATTCTATGTAAATTCCCCAGATCCTACCCAGTTTCAGACCTCTGCTCAGTTCTCCCCCATTCTTTATCACCTTTAACAAATTGGAGAGTTCACTTATGTCACATCCTACCCCCCAAAGCTTCCCTCCTTGTGACCAGTTCCTTGTGTATCTTTTTAGAGATGATGCATATAACAAGTTACATAGAGCAGTGGTTAAGAACATGGACTTTGGAGATTATGCTGGAATTTATTTTTTCACTACATGAACTTTAAAATTTGCCATGTATGAGTATCAGATGTTACCTAAACCTCTCTGTGCATCAGTTTCTCTGTGTGTAAAATGGGCTACTGTCATTTGGTTGTGAGGATTAAATTAGTCAATATGTGCAGTGGTAAGAAGAGTCCAGAATGTAATAAGTGCTCAATAATTGTTATCTATTTGGGTTCTTCTAAAAACTCTCTCTCTCTCTCTGTGTGTGTGTGTGTGTGTGTGTGTGTGTGTGAGAGAGAGAGAGAGAGAGAGAGAGAGAGAGAGAGAGAACTTAAATCTTCCCCATACCCCATATCCCATACCCCAGTAATGAGGACTGAGAACTCAGGGGTGCCCACTGAGAAATATCCCCATCCCTTTTTAGTTTTTGAGACAGGGTCTCACTAAGTTGCTCAGGGTCTTGCTAAGTTGCTGAGGCTGGCCTCAAACTTGCACTCCTCCTGCCTCAGCTTCCTGAGTAGCTGGAATTAGAGACATGTGCCACCACACCCAGAATACACCAAATTTTTTAAAAAATAAAAATCAAATAACTGTTGGGCAAAGGGTATGATAGTTCACAGAAGAGGAAATACAAATGCCAATAAGCAAATAAAACTATGTGCCACCTCAAGGAAATAGGAAGACATATTAATTAAAACAGAAAGCAGGGGCTGGGGTTGTGGCTCAGTGGTAGACCAGTTGCCTAGAACATGTGAGGCCCTGGGTTCAATCCTCAGCATCACATAAAAATAGATAAATAAATAGCATAAAGGTATTGTGCCCACCTACAATAAAAAATATATATGTATATATATTTAAAAAAACAGAAAGCAGTTTTCCCTCATAAGATTGTCAAAATGAAAATAATAACATCTGGGGGCTGGGGATGTGGCTTAGTGGTGGAGAGCTTGCCCAGCATGTGTGAGGCAGTGGGTTTGAGCCTCAGCACGGCATAAAAATAAATGAATAAAATAAATATATAGTGTCCATCTAAAACTAAAAATATTTTTAAAAATAACATCTGTTGTTTGATGAAAGAATAAATGGGCATTTCAAAAATTGCTGTAGTAATGTCAGTTGAAGGGCTGGGAGCATAGTTCAATGGTAGAGCACATTCTTACAATTCTCCATTCCCTGGGTTCAGTCTCCAGCACCAAAAAGTAAAAAGAAAAAAGAAGGAGGAGGAGGAGGAGGAGGAGGAAGGAAGGAAGGAAGGAAGGAAGGAAGGAGGGTCAGTTGGGGTAGTGTTCATTCAGTTTTCTGTTTTGTGGTGCTAAGTCGAACCCCAGGCCAGGCACATCCTGGGCAAGAGTTTCATCACTGAGCTACATCTTTGTAGAGTGTGAATGGAAGTGTATCAGTTCAAGTGTCAATTAAGATAGGCACACTTCTGTAATCCCAGTGACTCAGGTCAATTTGCAGGAGGATCACAAATTTGAGACCAGGCTCAGCAAAGACTCTCAGCAATTTAGCAAGACCCTATCTTAAAATAAAAAATAAAACTGGAATGTAGCTCAGTGGTAAAAGCAGCCCTGGGTTCAATCCCTAGTACCAAAAAGAGTGACAATTAAAAGTTTTTAAATGGGGCTGGGGATGTGGCTCAATCAGTAGCGCGCTCGCCTGGTATGCATTCGACCGGGTTCGATCCTCAGCACCATATACCAACAAAGATGTTGTGTCCGCCAAAAAACTAAAAAATAAATATTAAAATTCTCTCTCTCTCTCTCTCTCTCCTCTCTCTTTAAAAAAAAAAAAGTTTTTAAATGATGATAGGTAATCTGGTTTATGCCAATAATCCCAGAGACTTAGGAGGCTGAGGCAGGAGGATCACAAGTTTGAGGCCAGCCTGGGCAAAATCTTGTCTCAAAATAAAAATGGGAATCCCACAATGAAATTTTCCATGCTGATATTAACAACACAGGAAAATTGTTACCTAAATTTAGATAAAATGGACCAATATCTAGATGAGTATGACTTAACAAAACTGACACAGGAAGAAATAGAAATGCTAAAGAGTCCTATAGTTATAGGACTTTGATGGTTACCAAAGAAATTCAATCCTTAATTTAAATCCTCCCACAAGAAAATTTCCAGGTCGAGATGGCTTTCCCCCCCAAAAAAGACAAAACACCACATTCAGATAGTCCAATATATGTAAATATATGTGCTATAACATTACATACATAACTATATGTATTTGCACACATCTGGTTAATATGTACAACTATAAATACACATAACAGCATGTATACATGTGTACATGACTCTAGGCATGTGTGTAACTGCACACAAGCAGAGCTGTTTAGATTCCTGCATGTATGCAAACAAGTAAAGAGCATGGAAGTATACGCAACAAATTGCTGATTATGATTATGACTTCTGAGAGGGAATGGGGCACTTGTCCCTTTCCTGTACTGTTCCCATTTTCATGAAATCATATTCATATCCCAACCTAACTAAAACGTAATGTTCAATGAAATAAGAGAGCCAATGTTTAAGGCGGGTATGGTGGTGCATGCCTGTAATCCCAGGGGGTAGGGGCTGAGGCAGGAGGATTTCCAGTTCAAAGCCAGCCTCAGCAAACTCAGCAAGGCCCTAAGCAACTTTGCAAGACCCTGTCTCTAAATAAAAATAAAAAGAGCAGGGGGTGTGGCTCAGTGGTCCAATGCCCGGAGTTCAATCCCCAGTAACCCACTCCCCCTCCAAAAAAGAGCCAATGTTTAGAAGATGATGTTGAACCCCATTTGGGATCTGCCATCTGGTTCTGGACATTGCCAGAAAACTGCTCAATAGATCTTAATCCAGCTGGGCATGGTGGGGCACTCCTGGATCCCAGCAGCTTGAAAGGCTGAGGCAGGAAAATCACGAGTTCAAAGTCAGCCTCAGCAAAAAGCGAGGCTCTAAGCAATTCAGTGAGACCCTGTCTCTAAACAAAACACAAAATAGGGCTGGGATAGGGCTCAGTAGTTGAGCGCCCCTGAATGCAATCCCTGGTACTCACCCCCCCCCAAAAAAAAACAACAGTCCAAAGGAAAAGCAGCATTTCTCCTATTTAGACAAAGAAAGAGTCCACCAAGTATGTAACATTGTGCATTTATTTACAAAGAGGTTAGAGAAACACACAGAATCTGGCCCCCCTGTGCACGGGGGAGTCACCATCGTCATAATAAATACACTAATTTTTTAAAAAAGAAAAAAAAAACTGGAACAGCTGAGGGTCATCCAGCTTCCCCCACTCTCCCTCACAGTGGAGGCATGAGATAGAAACCATCTTCCTTCCCCTCTTTACCTCCCAATCCTCCATAACTGTCCAGGAATAGAGGTGAAAGAGTCCTTCCCAGGTGTCGCCAACTCCTACTTGACCCTCAAAACCCCGAAGTCAGTGCTCCTTCCCTTCCCAGGGCACTCTGCAGGCACCACCTGAGTCAGACACAGTGTCTCTGACCTGGGTGCCAAGGGGACAGCCTAAGGATCCAGGGACATGAAGGGGGCACTTTGTGAATGAGAGGGGGACAAATCTGGGCACAGAAAGAAATGAGAGTGTTCAGGGAGAGAAGTGAAGGGAACAGACTATACTTCTACACTAAAAGGGGAAATTCAAACAGAATCACCCCTCTTGCAAACAGGGACACCCATTGCACAGATGAGGAAAGTGAAGCCCACGAAAGGGGAACTTTCTTGCTCCTGGGCTTGGAAGCCAAAGGCTGAATGGATGGATCAGGGTCCTCCCCTCATTCCTCCCTGGCGGGGAGGGGAGCCTTTCTAACCAAGACTGCTACTACGCATGGAAGGGAGTGAAGAGGGTCTTTGGAAACAGAGAATGGTGGTCTTTGGAAGGTGGGCATGGAAGGGCCAGTGATCAGGAGTGTGGAGGTGCAGAGGCCATAAAGGGGGAGCCCAAGCAGATCCCCAAACTCACACCGTTGTCATGACCTTGAGAGAACCCGAACGGAAACGCAGTATCTTCTTCTTCAGAGCGTGGGAGGCCTTGATCTTCACGAAGACTTTGGCGGGGCCCGTGGGCGCCCCTCCACCTGCACCCCCGACTGGCCCTGCGGCGGCGGTGGCGGCCACTAGCTGCTGCGGCCACACGAGGCCACCGCTGCCCTCTGAGTCGCTGGAGGCAGAGCTGAAGGCAGGCGACTCGCCCTCGCTGGCGCTGGACTCGCTCTCCCCGTAGCCGCCGCCCACGCCGCCCGGAGGCCCGCGGCGAGCGAGCGGGCCCAGGCGCCCGGCCGAGCACTCCGAGTCGCTGCCCGCGCAGCCATAGAGCAGACGGCGCTGGGGGACCGACGGGGACGGGCCTGGCCCGGGGCCGCGGGCTGCAGGGGCGCGGGGCCGCCCGCGGCGCCCGTCGGCGGCGTCGATCTCGGCCGTGGAGCGCCAGCGGCGGCAGGAGCCGGCGGCCTGGGCCGCGAGCGTGGGCGCGCGGCCACCGCGGGGCCTGGGCGGCCGGGGCTCCTCCCGCTCGGCCGTGGGGTACTTGGGGGCGCCCGGCGGCGCGGCGGCGGCGCGGCCCAGCAGGCTGGTCTCGGACTGGGAGCGCGCGGCCTTGCGCGCCCTGGGTGAGCCCCGGCGACCCGAGGCCTCGGCCACACGTCCGCGGCGGCCCGCGGCCCGAGGGCGCTCCCGGGGCGGGGACTGCTCCACGCTACGGCCGCGGGTCAACGGCGGCGGCTTGCGGCGCGCCGCGCGGCCAGGGAGGCCGCGGGTGGCTGCCTGCGCGCCCGGGATGTACTGCGCCTTCACCAGGCGGCCCTCGGCCGGGCTGTCGGGGGGCGAGGCGGCGGCCGGCGGCGCTGCGGGCTCGGGCGCCACGTCCGCCTCCCACTGCGAAGCCCAGGCGCGACTCAAGGCGGCGGGGCTGGTGCCGCGGCCCCCGACGCGCTCCACCGAGGGCTCCCTTGCGGGCCGCGCGCCCCCGGGGGGCGGGGACGCGTCGGGCGGCCGCTGGCGCACGCTGTTCTGGCGCCGCGGACCCCCGTCCGCGCCCCCGGGACTCGTCCGGGGCTGGCCCGCCCCCCGGCGGCGGCGCCTGCGCAGGAGCGCCGAGATGTAGCCGTCCAGGGGCCGCCCGGTGCCCACCGGGTCCGGCGAGTTGGCAGGAGCACGGCTGCAGGGCCGCGGGCTGCGCAGCGCCACGGCGTGCAGGGGACTGGGCGTCAGAAAGGGCCCCGCGCGGGCGCGGCGCTCCGCAGAGGAGCAGGCTTCCGGCCCCGCGGACCCCGCCGTCGGGTAGGGCGCAGAGAAGGACCGCGGCACCGCGGCCCGCGCGCCCACCGACTCGGGAGCGCTGGGACTGGCGTCTCCTAGGGGAAGAAGGGGAAAAAAAGGGGCGGGGGAGACTCTCAAAGTCCTTTCTCATCCAACCTTGGAGGGACCGGCCACCTCCCTCCATCTCCACCTCACCTCATCAGTGAAACCTGCCTTCCTCCCTTCCCTTGTCTAGGGTTGGTGAAAAAATCTTCAGAGATCAATAAGACATGCATGACTTGTCCCGCCTCTGCCTCTACCCCTGTCTCTCTCTCCTCCCTCCCTCTCTCTCTCTCTCTCTCTCTCTCTCTCTCTCTATATATATATATATATATATATTCCCAGACCCCCTGGACATCTGCTTGGCCCACTCTCTTACTTAGGGGAGCCACTCAACTCTCACAGTCTCAGTGAGACCCCCTCCTCAGCCATATTTTCTCTGATTCTAACTGCTTCCCCAGACTCAAAGGGATGTCCCTTCCCCTGGTTTATGAATTGTCACAGCACAAGTCATTATCTGATGCCCTATGTATTTTACTTATTTATCTGGTGTATGCTCTATTTCTCCAACTACAATGTCCATTCACTAGGGCAGGGAGCTCCCTGACCAGTTCATTGCTGTGTCCCTCACCCGGAGGAAAGTGCTAGGAGAGCACACAGTAGGGGCTCAGAGATGGACTTTTTGTAAATGAGCAACAGTGGTTCCTGTCTCAGAGTAACTACCGAGTGGCTGGTCCAGGGCTGGAGGGCAGAGGCCCATGAGTACCCAACACAGGCCCAGCAGGTGGACACTGTTATTCCCCCTTCACAAATGGACAGACAGGTCCGGAAAGAAGAGAGAAGCTCAAAATCACATGAAGAGAGAAGGTCACAGCCAGAACTGGGGTCCAGGTGTGACTTGGAAGCTTATGCTCAAAACGAGCCTCTTAATGTCCTGTCCCTGGCCTCAGGTCCCCAACCCCACCCACCTTACCTAGGGACTTGGGCCTCTCGCTAGCATAGATGCCTCGGGGTTCAGAGGGACCCAGGCGTCCATAGGAGCCAGATCCAGAGAAGCCACTGTCCCCGCAGAAGGTTGAGGGTGGTGAGTCTGGACCTCCTGTGGAACTGGGGTCTTCATAGAAGCCTGGATTCCAAAGAGAAGCCAAAAGACCATCAGGGAGGTGAGGTGGGGAAAGCAGGGGTGGGAGAGGAGGAGGTGGGGCATCGAGAGTGCGGGCCTGAGAGATGGGGAGCATGGGAAAGGCTGGGGTGTCCAGGCAGACCCCACCCCTCCAGCCCTGCTCACCTGAGCTGCGCCCGCTCTCCTGTTCCAGGCCCCCAGACTCCAGGCTCAGGTCTCCCAGCTGTTGGCCCAGGTCCCAGATGAGTCCAGGCAAGGCCTCCTGAGGGCAGGGGGAAAGCAGGGCGGTCAGAAGGCCCAACCTGCTGCCATAGAGTCCCCTGTTCCGTGAGCTCATGGACACAGACAGGTTCACTTTGACCATGAGGCTCTGACTCCATAAAATCAGTATCTGGGCCCCAGAACCTCTAAGGTCTCTGTCTCTCATGTCCATTAGGGACGGAGGCTAACTCCCGTCCTCGCGGAGCCCCATCTAGTCCCTCCTGGGTGCAGTGGGGCCCAGAGGCCCCCCTCTTGCCCACCGTCCATCAAGGATTCCCATCTGTGCTCACAAGGGAACCCCATACGAATGTTCTCTGAGTCTACCTCCAGGTCTTCTTGCTATAAAGACAGTTCAGTGCTAAAGGTGGCGTCCAGGACCCAGAAGATCCCTTAGCCATGGGTCTGTATTCTCCTAGTTTTCAATTTTATTTATGTTATTGTTACTTATTTTGTGTAGGTGGGTGGTACTGGGGATTGCAGCCAGGCCCTCATTGGTGCCAGGCAGGTGCTCTACCACTGAACCCCCTCTGTGGTCCCTTCTTCCAGTTTTGACCCTACCTCATGTGCACCCACCCATCTCCCTTCACTGCCCTTGGTCACCAGTGGAAAGTCGTGTGGTCCTTCCTGCTTCAGCCTCACACCCTCTGAGGTTTCTCCCCTCAGACCCCACCCCTGCCCGGCTCTGGGCATCCTGGGAAGTCCTTCCAAGTCTAACCTTAATGGTCCTACAGCAGTGATCCCTGTATTTTTTTTTTTTTTTTTTTTTTTTTTTTTTTTTTTTTGCCCCAGCACCACATCCTCCTGTGCCCTGGGCTCCACTCCTGCCCTGAAACCCACCCCCACCCCTCCGCACTCCAGCGTCTGTCCTCGGCTCCTTATTCCCAGGAGCAAATGAAGGAGAAAATCTTCCCAGGGCAGTGACCATGACCTCTCAGGGGTGGGGGCCCCAAGACACCCAACGCAGCCCTGTTTCAGAGGGGGTGGGCCAGAGCCAAGAAGGCTCACAGGGGCTGAGGGAACTGTGGAGCCGGCTGCTGGCGGTTGACCCTCAGACAAAAGCGGCTTGTCTGGCTGGGGGGGAGGGGGGGAGCGCGGGAGGGCAGGCGCCCAGCCCTGCCTATTTAGGGCAGAGAGACCGGCCGGTCCCGCAGCCACCGCCCCCTCCCAGCTCGGAACACTCTGGGCCTTGGCTCCTCCCTCCCCCAGATCAGAAGCCCCCATCTGGGCCTGTTTATGTGGACAAAGTCCACAAATTGTTGAGCTTGGGCTGCCCTGGGCATGCAGGAGTCAGCTTTGAGCAGAACCCCAAAAGCAGCCAAATCGCTCAACAACGAGGAGTGGTTAGAGAAATCGAAGAGCCACCTCTGTACGTCCCCTGTCCCCTACCACGTCCCCAGAGGCGCTGGCTTGATCCCTGGGCTCCAGCCTCCTGGCCTCCTTGCTGTCCTGGAGGGCAGCCTGGCTCCCCCCGCCCCCCTGGCTCGCCGGCTTCATTCACATCTTTGGTTACCGCCATCCTTTCTCTGACACTTTCGGAAATAGCTCCCCTGTCATTCTGCACGCTGACACCCTTCTACTTTTTCTATTTCTATTTTTATATTTTACACAGCAGTAATGACCTCTTGACTTAAATATCATATAGCAGGGTGTCACTTGTTTATTATGTCTCTCACTAGGACGTCATCCCTAGGAGAGCAGAGATTTGTGTTGGCTGCACCTACCCTAGCAGTGTTGGGCACAAAGCAGGTGCCCAGGAAATATTTGATGAATGAATGAATGAATGAATGACACATGTGTAGTGGAATACTATACACCTGTTAGGATGGAACATGGCAAATTTCTTTGTGGAACCATTGATATGATAAAGCATTAGCAGAAAGATAAAAATGCAGAATACACGCATGACAGCGAGTCAGAATTACAGTCTTGTGTTGCTTAATGATGTGGGCACATTCTAAGAAATTCATCATTAGGCGATTTCATCGTGTGCTAACCTCAAAGAGTGTACTTAAACAAACTAAGACAGCTACAATGTCACTAAGTGATATAATTTTACAGGTCTACTGTCCTACATGCAGACCTGGAAGGGTTGTTAAAACCAAAATTATTGAGTCTCAGTTCCAGAGCTTCTGATCCCAGTCTGGAGTTGAGACCAAGAATTTGCATTTCTAACAAGTTCCATGTGATGTGGTGCCGCTGGTTAAGGGGTCACACTTTGAGAACCACTGGCACAGTCACTGGGACCTCACCCAAGAAACTGGCATTTGTAAAAAGCAAAGCTTTTTACAAGCTCTACATTTCTTTCTTGGTATGTAAACTCTTTCTGCTGAGCTGATGCAGGAAGTCCTTTCAGGAAGAGGTCTGGAGGGACTCAAGCCAAGGTGACAATGGTGGGGACCTCAGGGGGTCAAGGGAGGGATGGGGAGTGCTTAAGGAGGCATGAGTTAGCATCACGTTGCCAAAAGCAGCTCTCCACCTCCCCACTGTGAGACTCTGGGTAGGTGATTTGGCTCTCTGGGCCTCAGTTTCTGTCTATCACATGGGCATCCTGTGACTCCATCTCTTATAGGACTGCTGGGAGGATTACATGAGTTAAAGGAGCACTTCCTTTTAAGTACTAATAAATACTAACTGGCATTATTACCTGAAAGCTATGAATATCTAACAAGGAGTAATTAAAATACTACTTGCATAATTAAAAAATATATGTAAAATACTTTTTCCCTTTGCTTTTTGGTTTTGTTTGATAAATTCTGCAGGCCTCATTTCTTCCACTATAAGGAGGGCTGAGGAAGAGAGAGTCTGGAGTCTCTCTTCCCCCATGGCCTCCTCCTCCTCAGTGTCTAGACACCCCTGAAATCGTCCCCCAGTCTACATTCCCCATCGTATAAATCTGACCTCATTCCTTCCAGCTGCAAAAAGGATGACTCTAAAGACCAGAGGTCCTCGGCCTGAATTCTGCCCCCTGCCTCCCCACAGTGCCCCCTTATTGGTCCTTTTTGTGCAAATTCTACTACAAGCAGGACATCCAGCCGAGGGAGGCTTAACAGGAGTGTAGTTAGGGCTCCTGGAGACCTCAAATTTCCCCGCTTCTTTGTCCATTTCCTTATATTCCCTTATCAGTGTCCAGAGCCCTTTTAGCTCTGGTAGGAAGCCCTCTGCAAGTCTCGCTTAAGAACTCCTTGTTAAAAGTGACCCTTTTTCTTCCTGGGAGCAAACAGGACCCAGGGAGCCCCCGACCCCCACCCAGAATTCATGCCTCTATTTTCTGCAGTAACCTCAGTCTTTACCTGGTATCTCCATCATTCTTATTAGAAAGTCACCAAGTCTGGCTTCTGTCTTTCTTGCTTCAAAGACAGTGTATTCTTGGGTGAAGACACCAGTAAGTCTCACAAGGACGACTCAGGGAACAGAGGAGGCCCATCTTCAGAAGGACCCAGGAACCCCAGCACTCAGAAGAGTTTATATTTAGCGCTTCTCTGCCTCTCCCTTGGTGCCGCTGTCTCCCCCACTTCCCCGCCTGCCACCGCCTCCTCCCTGGTGCTGGGACGAGCTTTGCCTGGTGACTGTGGGGGGACTGGCCTCTCCACTACCACCTCATGCCAGCCAGGAAGGAGAGGGGAGGGAAGAGGGAGACTGAGAGATGTAAGATGAGGGGCAAAGAGATGGGGAGGCCGAGGGGCAGTGCCCTGGCTCCTGGTGGGATGGAGGCACTTGGGAAACCCAGGCATCTTGGGGTGGGGGAGCTGGTGAAGTCCCCCACAATCCCGTCTCTAACTTTTGGAGGGGGCGGGGCCTCCCACAGCTGTTTCTGCTTCCAAGAAGAATGTGCAGGGTCCCACTCCCGGCCGGGGGGAGGGGCTGGGCGTGCAGGGCCTGTGTCTGGCTTCAGCTTTCCCCACTTCCCATCTGGGGAGGGGGCAGTCGAGGTCAGCGACAGGGAGAGCCCCCTCCCCCCCCCCAACCTCGGCTCAGGTTTCCCCAAACGGGAAGCTCTGACCACCCACAGGCTCAGGATGGGGTCTGCAAGGGGAGCCAGGGTCTGTAGGCTGGGGGAGGGGAGGAGAGAGACTGAGACTGAGGCGTGGGGCAGAAGAGAGAGAGAGAAGAGCAGAAATGCAAGGAGGGAAGACCGGGAGACAGACAGACAGACAGGATTGAGAAAAGGAAGCAGACACAGAAAGTCACGGAGATGTGGCCGTAGGGAGCGAGTGCAGGCAACCAGGAAGGGGTATCCGGACTCAAGGAATGATGTATGGAGGAGAGGAATGGTGCTTCCCTAATTTGGAGACCTCTGCTCATCTTCCCCCATTAGAGCACCCAGAAGTCAAATCACCCTGCTGCCTTAACCTGCCTCTTCTTGGGTTAAGGGGGACTGGGACCAGGTAGGAAAGAGAGGAAAGTGTCATGGACGGGTCTTGATGCCGGTGGGGGCCTCAGAGACAGAGCTAACTCCCAGCAGTGATCCCTCCCTCTGGAGGCCCTAAATCCCCCTCCCCCCACCGCGCCCCCTCTGGAGATCTCCAAGCACACCAGGGCTCAGCGAAGATGGAACCCTCCCTGGTAGCCGGGCCCAGAGGGAGGCATGTTTGAATCCCCACTGTGTGACCTTGGGTGAGTCACTTCCTCTCTCTGAGCCTCAGTTTTTTCTCTGTAAAATGGGAACTACCACCCCCTATCTCCCAAGCTGCAAAAAGACAACGCATGCAAAGTACTCAGATCCGGTCTTGACACATACTTGGCGCCCAGAAGGATTTTCTTTGGGGAAGGGGTGTAGAGGATGGAGCCATGCATCTCATGAGGCCCCAGCAGAGGCCATGCAGTACCCCCTCCCCCGATTTGGGGACGGAGAGGCCAGGTCCCCCCCGCCGCTTGGACTCCGGGGTCTCCAACCCTACCCCTGTCCTTTCCCCCTCTCTGAGCCCCCTCGCGACGTGGTGCCTGAGCATCCAACCGAGACAGACAGACAGATACAGACGAGGGTGGAGGGAAGAACGGACAGGCGGCCCCTCACCAGCTGCTCCTCTAGGGCCGCTGCGGCCCGGCGCGCCGCCGCCGCATCTTCGTCCTCGTCGGCGTCCTCCTCGTCCTCGGCCTCAGGGCCCCCCATTCCGGGCTGGGCCAGCCGCAGCGCCTGCTGCACGCGGTACTCCTGCCTCTCTCGGAGCCAATGCAACTCGCAGAGCCCGGCCAGGCTGCCCTCCAGCCAGCCCCGCAGCCGGCCCCGTTCGGGGCTCACCGGGAACGAGAAGGCCCGGATCATGGCTGCGGCCCCCCGCCCCAGCCCGGCCGGGCCCCACGGCCACCCCTCTCCCGGTCCCACCTCCCCGCCCCAGCAGCCCGCCTGCCCGCCCGCCCGCCCGCTGGCCGGGCTGTCACCGTCTCATCTGCATAGGCGCCCGCCCATTGGGCCGCCCACCCGTGCCTTATCTGCATGGCCACGCCCCCGGCCACACAGCAACCGCCGCCTATTGGTGGGTTCCATCCTGACGAAGTTGCTGGACAGAGCACCGGCGCCGCCCAACACGACGCATGCTCGAAGCTACCTACTCACTCTGCTTAAAGACAGCCTCGCCACGCCCCCCCGTGAATCTGCCTCAGGGCCTTGACCACGCCTCCCTACGCATCACAATGAAACAAGCCCGCCCTGGCTCCAATGCCATTGGTCTGTTCCTCCCGGTCCTGCAGCCGGTTCCGCCCTCCTGCGGGCGAGCTCTGGCTACCATTGGACTGTCCGGCGAGAGAGGAAGGATGGTCTATAAATAGAGAAGGCATCCATGTGACAGTTTGGCAGATGTTCCAACCTCCCTGTTCAAACCTTCAGCTTCTGAGGCTGCGCGAGGCGGGGGGGGCGGGGGAGAACAAGGTTGAGGGTCGAGCTCTGATTTCGCCTCCTCTTCCAGGAAGCCTTCCGAGGCACTCCTCCGTAAAACGGATAAAGTTATGCTCCTTAAAGGAGGGCCGGCTTCACCCACGTGGGACTCGCTGAGAGACCTCGGCGCTTGGTTTAATATTCTGCTAGAGCTCTCTTGAAATTCACATATTTTTTGAGCCAGGGACCCCACGTTTTCATTTTGCACTGAGCAGACAAAATCATGTGGCCGGTCTTTCTTCTAACGGTCCAAGATGGGTTGTGTCCCGAATTCTGGACGTTGGGTGGAAGATGAACTGATTTGAGGGGAACAGAGCATCTCAGCGTCTTTGTCTCCTAGGTGCAGTGAGGCTGTAAGCTCCACCAGCCGGCGACTCCAGGGCCTTTGTTCTGCGTTCGAAGCGGCTTTGTTCTCCGCCTTCTAAGATGCTCTGTTCTCGGCGTTCTCTGGTCCTGAGTCTGAGCTGCCACCGGTTTCCAAGGCTCCCGGCGCCTCCCCGCGCTCCGCCAGCGGGGCTAGCGCCCCCCCAGGTGGCCAGCCTGCGTCACTGCGCTCGGTGTGTGGTGTTCCTCCCCACCGCTCTCCTGAGCCCGCCCCGACATTCACACCCATTTCCCGGACAGATCCTGTGCCCTTTTTGTTTGTTTTTGTCCTGGGGATTGAGCCCAGGGGCGCCCACCACTTGCTACATCCCCAGCCCTCTTTTAATTTTTTTTTATTTTGAGACAGGGTCTGGCTAAATTGCTTAGGGCCTCGCTAAGTGCCGAGGCGGCTTGGAACTCATGATCCTCCTGCTTCAGCCTCCGGAGTCGCTGGGATCACAGGCGTGCGCCATCGCGCCGGGCTGCGGACAGATCTTGACTCTTATTAAAAGTCAAGGCCCAGATCCTGTGAGACCTTCGTCTCATTGTTATTTTGGTACTGGGGATTGAACCTAGGGGAACTCTACCACTGAACTACATCCCCAGGTTGGCCTCCAGCTGATGATCTTCCTGCCTCAGCCACCTGAGGTGCTAGGACAGAGGAGTGCCACACCACCGCCTGCAGAACTTCCGCTTCCATTTCATCACTTTGGTGTGCCCTACAGAAACTTATGGTCCTGGCATGGAGATAGCAGTGTTCGAGTGGAGAGCAAAGACGTTGAAGGCGGGCTGCCTGGGGATAGTCTGCAATTTTCTAGCTGTGTGATTTGGGGAAGCAACCTAACCTCTCTGTGCCTCATTTTCATTTGTACCTCATAGAATTGTTCCGAAGATCAAATGAATTATTTGTCAAGTACTTGGAGCATTATCTTCCACACATTAAGAACCACAGAGGGGGCTGGGGTTGTGGCTCAGTGGTGGAGCGCTTGCCTAACACGTGTGAGGCCCTGGGTTCAATCCTCAGCACCACATAAAAAATAAATAAATAAAGGCATAAAAATTTATTTTAAAAAATTAAAAAAAAAAACACACAGAAGGGGTTGGGGGTTGTGGCTCAGTGGTAGAGCACTCGCCTAGCATCTGTGAGGCACTGGGTTTGATCCTCAGCACTATATAAAAAATAAATACAAAATAAAAAGGTATTTTTAAAAGGAACAACAGAAGGGTTTGATACTTAAGTTTTTTCAAAAAAACAAAATCTGTGAGTCCCAAGGAGAAAAAGAGCTGGACTTTAGTAGACAAAAACTGTATTCAGTCCTCTTGTTCAAGACAGACCTACACCATCTAATTTTCAAACAGCTGGGAGACAATCAAGGATTGATGACAGGGGTCTGGCGAGCTTGAAACAGATTTTCTGAGTAGTCAGTGTCTGGGTGAAGTCAGAATTGTCTTTCATCCCTGCTGTTCTGCAAGACAGGTTGAGCCGTCTGCTGATGGAAGGTTGGGTCTGGAGGTGATTTAAAGGCATTTGAAGATGGATATTCCAAGGATGGTGACTAGGGGTAAAGCCAGTATTTGAGGCTAGGGGCAGCAAGATGAGAGGGCTCCATCAGGAGGTGAAGAGAGCCTGCCCGCTGGGGTGTCAGAAGAGCTGTAGCAACATTGGAGATTCCCTTTTTTTGGTACTGGGGATTGAACTCAGGGGCACTCCGCCACTGAGCCTCATCCCCAGCCCTATTTCATATTTTATTTAGAGACAGGGTCTCACTGAGTTGTTTAGCGTTCTGCTTTTGCTGAGGCTATCTTTAAACTCGAGATCCTCCTGCCTCAGCCTCCCAAACTACTGGGATTATAGGCATGGGCCACCGAGACTGGTGGAGATTTCTCTTTTGACCTCTCTCTGTTCTTACTGATGATGATGATGGAGGAGAATAAGAAATCCTGGGAAGGAGCACAAAGTAGTTGCTTCCAACGGGCACCTCCACCCCGGAAGCCACATGTCCAAGGCTAGACAGTTGTGAAGGACCAGCTCACATGTCCCCTGAGTTCCCTGGCCTCAGTGAGGCTGACAGTGATGTCAGTCGGTCAGCACAGATCCATCCGTCGGTCTGTTGTGCTGGAGCTTGAACCCAGAGCCTCACTGGGCCAGGCAAGGGCTCTACCACTGAGCTACCCAACCAGCTTATAATAGACTTTTTCTTGCGGTACTGGGGATTGAGCTGAAGACCTTGTGCATGACAGGCAGGTGCTCTATGACTTCGCTGCATCCCCAGCTCGGCACATTTCCCGCTTAGTCAAGACAGAAGTTTCCTGGATACAAAAAAAAAAAAAATTGCCCAAATGTGATCAAAGGCCATACTTAAACCTCCTTGATCTAAGGTGACTGCAAACAAGGTAAAACATCCAACTTCCAACTGGGCTTTGCAGTGTCAGGGGCCTTGGATTGTGAGAGTTTGAGCCGGGCGAGGTGATACCTGCCTGTAATCCAGCTACTCAGGAGGCTGAAACAGGAGGATGGCCATCTGGGCAATTTAATTGAGACCCTATCTCCAGATAAATAAAAAGGGCTTGGGGATATAGTGGCAGAATATTTGTCTAGCACGTGTGAGGCCCTGGGTTCAATCCCCAGTACCACAAAAAGAAAAGAAAAAAGTTATGAGATTTTGAGTTCTTCTAGCAGAATATCAAATGAAACTGGAGTAGAGGGAAGTAAGTCAGGGCCCGATGGGGAACTGCGAGAGGAAGCAAGTTCCGTGTCTCCATCAATTAAGGAATTGCCTTACGTGATGGGTCAAAATCAAAATGGAGTCACTTGGGTCAAGCCCTAACAAAGATAATAATAATAAACCCCAAAGATCACAGATCAGGCATGCACATGCTGAGAATAAGAATTAGCACAGAAGCCTCTGCCCAAATCAAATCACAAGTTTGCACAAAGGCCACCACAAGTTCACACACGCACACACACACATACACACGCACACACACTTCTGCAAGGCCCCTACCCAGTGAGTGCCTGTATAAACTTGGACCCACCCATCCTTGCTATTGATCCTTGTAACCAAGAATTTCGGTTTCAGCCGGGTGTGGTGGCCCAGTCTGTAATCCCAGCAGCTCTGAGGCAGTTCAAGGCTACCCTCAGCAATGTAAGGAGGCCCTGAGCAATTTAGCAAGACCCTGTCTCTAAATAATATTCAAAAAAGGGCTGCAGATATGGCTCAGTGGTGAAGTGGCCCTGAGTTCGATCCTTGGTACCAAGGTGGCGGGGGGTGGTGGTGGTGGGGATCACTGTCTCATATATCCGATGTGATCCTCATTTTATCTTTCAAAACCTCCCCTCGCCTCCACCTCCTTGAATCCATCCGTGGCTCGTCCATGACACATGTGTGCCCATAACAGTGCTGTACTGTTCCCAAATTCATAGCAGATTCTTTTTTTTTTTTTTTTTTTTTTTTTTTAAAGAGAGAGTGAGAGAGGGAGAGAGAGAGGAGAGAGAGAGAATTTCAATATTTATTTTTCAGTTATTGGTGGACACAACATCTTGTTGGTATGTGGTGCTGAGGATCGAACCCGGGCCGCATGCACACCAGGCGAGCGCGCTACCGCTTGAGCCACATCCCCAGCCCCTCATAGCAGATTCTTTAAGGAGTCACTCTGCTACTTCAAAGGTCACCATCTGTTGTTTTCTGGGGTCTTTTTGCTGATGCGTGGCTTCATCTTCAACACTGCTACTCCTCGAGACAGAAGCAAAGTTCCTAAAGGTTCAACAACCTCAGTAGCATTTTTAACTAATGTTCCTACGGCCACCATGAGTCCTTTTTGTCTCCAAAGCAATACCCAAACCATGGAGTACCCAGAGCCCACCTGTTCTCACTCTAAGTATTGGCTCTCTCATCTCAGGTTAGTATGAGCACCGTAAGTATGCTGGGTTTGGTGAGGGCTTTATTTTTATTTTTAATTATTATTTGTGCAGTACTGGACATTGAATCCAGGGATAGTTTACCACTGAGTTACACCCTGCAAGCCCCACCCCAGTCTTTTGAGACAAAACCTAGTTAAATCTCTGAGGCTGGCCTCAAACTTGCATCCTCCTGCC